ACCACCAAGATGTAGGTGACAAAAGGTATTGCTATGGTGTGAAATTATTCCTTTGGAATGCTTTCCTTCACGTTCTTGGGCGACCCTGGTTACCTTACGAGACTCTTACAGGAACAAGTTGTTCACTATTATCAAACCCGGATTAGAAAACGCACGTTCTTCACATTTGCAAATTAAATCGTAGCGAACGAGACAGAAATATTCACAGTGGCCCCATATTCATGATGAATAGAATGTTTCGAGTCAAAACGGCATATGTGGTGGACCAAAATAGACAGTGTCGTTGTCACGCTTATAGGCACTGCGCCAAACTCACTGTGAATTTGAATTCCTGAACTTTCGTGTTACTGTCGGTAATGTTTTAACATCTCCATTACACATTAGAATACATAACTAACAAGTTATTTCGCCCTTTTCTTTCGCACTGACATAGTTGTCTAAGACAACTTGTCTTACGGCGCGTGGAGTATTACGCGCACCTCCAGTGCGTGAAAAATGCACATGGTCAACTACATTTGTTGGTGACAATATGAAAACTGCGAGATTTTTTTTGGAAAATTGTTATTGATTCCTGTACACCCTCACCCGAATTCGTGTAATTAGCGAGAAAACTCCTGAGCACCACTGAGAAAAGCGGACATATATCTTCCAACACTGCGCACCTTACGTGTATCGAGTTTGTGTATTTGCCGGCTCAGGCGTTCCACGTTAGAAGCGTTAACACGCCATGTGGTCGATGTCATCCTCTCCGGTGTCAAGCGGACCTGAAGTATGTCACTATCGCTGCCAAGAAGACTCATCGCCCTTGATATATTGATCAAGTCGCTTACGACTTCGGAGAAAACCATCGGGGGGTGTTGAGGGTCGGCGCTTTACCCTCGAAAGGAGTGACTGTCCAAGAGACTTCTCCATTTATACACATTAATGGAAGGCTATAGTGGCGCTAGGCTAGGCTACATAATGAGATGGTCTAGCAGAACACAACAAGAGAAAAAGAGACGCTCATCAGAGAAACAAATAACGATGATGGTCAGCTTCCATTCACATAGCAAAAGTACGAACACGATCCTGATCAGTTACTTGTACATGATAGGTGCGTGGAGACAAGTACACGGAATAGTTGTACGTAGGCGTTATGTTGAAGCCGCATCTTCATATCTGCCACTCAACCATCGACAGTATGCAAATATTACCCTTCAAAAGGTGTAATGAGCGAATGGAAATGCTCAATATGCCTCATATTCTACTCAAACGGTAGTCAGTCTTTCTCCTTTGAACCATATCGCATGCGTACAATACGAGCGTGCTCCTTCGGGCCATATCCCATGCGTACAATACGAACGTGCTCCTTTGGACCATATCGCATGCGTACAATTCCGAGAATACGTTTTTCGGCTTAGCCAAGCGTTGGACAATACCAGTCTCCCCCTCAGGAAGCACTCGAACTTCTCGCACAGTATCACGGTGCTCGGCTCCTCAAATGCCCATAATCATCTCATTCGTTCTTCTCTCAATCCTACCTTTGGTCAAGTGCTTGGATGAGGAAACTGTGGAGTTGGCTTTCATGGGTTTTCAACATAAGTAAGGTGGCAATCAGATCGTGTTGCATTATGATATTTTGATTTGCAGGTTCGGTAAAAATTACGAGTCTAAGGAGGAAGAAGTCAAAAGGAATGCCATCTTTCAAGCCAACCTCCATCACATCGAGCATGTCAACGCTAAAAGTGAGTAACATCATATCGGCCATTAGCCGAGTGTCGAGCTATGCAGATCTGTCTTACAAGCTGGGCGTCAATGAGCATGCGGATCTCACACACGAGGAGTTCGCCGCTCTGAAGCTCGGCACTTTGAAGATGAGTACGAGAAGGGATGATGAGTTTGTTGTTGAAGGTGGGACCAGCTGAGCATGCCAGCTTGAGCCTCTTTGTTTCAGCTGACACTACACAGCTCCCAACTTCGGTGGATTGGAGGAATAAGAGTGTATTAACCCCAGTTAAGAATCAAGGTTCCTGTGGGAGCAGCTGGGCTTTCTCCACGACCGGTAACTCCCTTGGGCATGCATGTGTGTGCCTTTGCAGTTTTCAGGTGCTCTCGGGGCGCAGTATGCCATCGCTACGGGTAAGCTCTTGTCACTCTCCGAGCAGGAGCTTGTGGATTGCAGTCTCAAATATGGGAACGAGTAAGTGGCACCACATGCCTGTGTTTCTCATTGCATATTGATGCCGTATTCTCTTGCATTTTCTCATTGCATTCTCTTGTGTATATTTCCTGTGGGAAACTTTTACACTGTTCTCATCTTAGCGGTTGCATCGGAGGCTACATGGGGGCTGCTTATGAGTACATAAATCAAGCTGGCCTCGATCAAGAGTCAACCTACCCTTATAAAGGTTGGGACGAGCCATGTTTCCGCTCCAGTGAGAAAAAGGCTGACGGCATCCCGGTAAGATTTGTACTCAACAGTACTATCATCTTTTTTATAGGCTGGCGAGGTTACCGGCGTTCACTTGCTAGCTAAGACTGAGCAGAGCTTGATGAAAGCGCTGGCGGATGCTCCGGTCTCCGTCGGCATGTATGCCTCGGATCCCAATTTCCGCTTTTACCGTTCCGGAGTGTATTCGTCTAGTAAGATTTGCGCCCGATGCTGATGTGTACAGAATATTACGGGTTTTAGCAACCTGTAATGGAGAGACTGATCACGCTGTTGTGGCGGTTGGATATGGCGCCGACAAAGGATCAGAGTAAGATCGAATAATATAAATGTTCGCTGCAATTTTTGTCTTGTTGTCAGTTACTTCATTCTCAAAAATTCTTGGGGATCCAAGTGGGGCATAGGTGGATACTTCTTTCTGAAGCGAGGAGTTGGCGGTCACGGTGAGCTTCGACACTCATCATGACATCCGCGAAATCGTCCTCTTCAGGTGAATGCAACATTCTCGAGTATATGCTTGTTCCGACGCTCAAGTCTCGCTAGATCCGCTGGAAGATTCAGTATCATCACGATTCGTCAATAGCCATCATGAGAATTTGCTCTCAATAATGGTTCACCTTCATTGTGCGAGAATAATCCCTTCCCCTTACCCGATCTTCGCTCTATCAAAGTGAAACCTTCAGAGCACCAGATGTTAAAGGTTTTACATTTCACAGGGCATTGGGGGTTTTTATTTTTCCCAGTAAGTTCTCGTAAAACAAAACTCGAGAGTTTCAGTATTTTGTTGTGTTTGATGAAGGAGTCGTTATAAGCAATATGAGGGAATGTCCACATGGTCAACTACATCATGTAGTCTACATGTGTCGGTGACAACATGAAAATTTGAAGGATGTCTGGGGCCCCCGGGGGGGGGTTCTTATTGGTTTGAAACCAATGGTTTCTGAACACCATTCAAGTTCATAGACAAATTGCTATATTTTGCGAGAGAACTCCTGAGCTTAACTGAGTGATCGATGATATATCCCTCGAGAACTGCCCTCGAAACTCAGCGACAACCTAATCTTGGGAATTTCCAACCTTCCCAGAAAACTTCAAGTTACTATACCAATCCTTCCTGTGACTAAACGCCATATTATAGATCACCAAGCTGTACGGTCCTGTTCTCCTTTGTGTATTGTATGCTGATAAATAGCATAATCAAAATTTAATGCGTGTCAATTCGAATTGAGAAATAGCATGAAAGTGCAAACGGTCGATTTTTGTAAGAAGTTTTCATATTATAAAGGAGGCTTGACGCAAGATATAATGACGACGATATCGTTATTATATAGGATTATATGTGCTTGACCATGTGCATATTTTACCACACTTTTGGCTACAGTATGGCTACTAAAAAGCGCAACTTGCGCCCTTGTTGCACCTACAGCAGATGCAATGGTGAATGGTGCAATAGTAAACCCGAATGCAGCAGATAGTGAGAAATTGGGGGCGTAGCAGATGATCTGTTACGTCCAATTTTTTCCACCATTCATCGTGATTTCGTAAAAGAAAAGGGATCCTACTTGTCGCGTGTAACCCTAGTGCCACTCGAGACAAAATTACTGCCTTCACTGGGCCCCCTTTTGCTCGTAGACCTAGGACAAGTCTCTCAGCATAATGGAAGTATCCATATAACAAGTATACACTAGGAGTTTGGTTGGGTAAATCGAACTCCCGATCGACTTATTGAGGCGCGTGCTAAAATGACCGTGCGCAGGCGTGCAAATTCCTTAAGCAGTTCTGTTGTCCGCTACCCAGATGGCCAAAAACAACTTCCTAACTGAAGAAGAAAAGGCTATGATAGTAAAGTGGCTTGCTGATGGCATGAAAACGCTGAAAGTCGCGAAGAAATGGGGCCGAGATCATCGTACAATCATTCGTTATACGAATGATCCTTCGGAAAAGTACACGCGGCGGGGTAGCATACAAAACTTCAGTGTCACCGCGAGAAAGGACCAATATCAAGCGGGCACTGAACAAGAACCCGCTATGCACCAGCAAAGAGATTTTTAAAGCTGCTGGGGTTGAAACAGGATCGAAAAACACGCGATGCAAGATGTTACGCGACATTGCAAAAATTAGAAACTTTCTAATAGAAAGGCTGATCCAAGGCCGATTTTAACCAAGTGGTGGGCCCAGTTCGAGTGAAACAAGGTGTTGTTGCCCAAGGGAATGACCGTGTTGTTATTGCAGTGATCTGATCTGATATTTGTGTTTGTGTCCCCATTTGTGTTATTTACTTCCATGGGCATCTTAGCTAAGACATCGCACAAGCTGTGCTAGTCATTGGGGATATGAGAGCTGTTGTAAGATAGTTGTGGATACTTATTTCTTCTATTTAATCTACTCGTGCTAAGATGACTGGAACGCCTACGCACACCGAGACTGAGGACAACGACACTAGGCGTCAAAATGAATTCACAGGAGTAGGGAGCTCGTTGTTCTCAGTCTGTAAGTCAACGAGTTAGATCCACGCTACTTCCTTCGATGGTATCGAAAGCAAGCCAGGGCCACTAAACGCGATCTGATCCTCATGCAAGACAATGCTCCGTCCCATGCCAGCAAGTTCACGAGGGATTATCTGGACAAGCAAGGCTTCAGACGCGAGAAGCTGATGACCTGGCCACCCAACTCACCGGACTTGAATCCGGTGGAACATTACTGGAGTATTTTGAAGAAGTAATACATCACAAATCCCTCTCAGAGGAGTGTTATAACTCTTCTCAGGAAATTGTATAAGGAAGCCTTTTTTAACGTGGACTTCCTATGGCATGTCATCGAGGCCGCTGCCAAGACTGTGACTCATCCAAGATACAGGCGCTCACAGAATCCGTTGACAACCGCCTGAAACGTGTTCTCACATGTGGAGATGTTCATATCAAAGCATGATACATGAATTCCCATCCTATTTGTTTCTCCATGCTCCAGTGATGTTGTGCTGCTTAAGAAAGTTGCACGCCTGCGCACGGTCATTTTAGCACGCGCCTCAATAAGTCGATCGGAAGATCGATTTAGCCGATTAAACTCCTAGTGTATACTTGTTATATGGATACTTCCGTTATGCTGAGAGATTGTACGAATATTCGCCGTATTGCCGGAGAAATCGAATTTTCCACGCATTTGCGTAAGAAAAACGCACGCACAGTACAGTACTGATGACGATGCCATGGAATATGGGTATACTGTAAGAGTAATGTGATATAAGAGCGGACTGAGAACTCGCTAAGACGGCATAGCTGTTTAGCTTCGTTTAGTTGGTATGATTTATACCTGCGATTAACCTAACCAGTCGAACAGCGATTGAAATGGCGATTCGATCAGATATTATCTTCTTACAGTCACTTCAGAATTGCTCTTGTTGTCTGTTCTACTTATAGCCATGGATTAATACATCTCGTGTTGGAGGGATACATGTTTGCTTCGCTCAGCTGAACTCGTACACAGCAGCTTCCTCACTATATTGTGGAAACTCCCACAACTTTCTACAAAAATTAACCAGAATTGCCTCATTTCCAATAAAATTCAAGTTGAAACTAAACTCAACATCTAGATATGCTCAACAGACTATCACCGCAGCCGCGCCCGTAACGACGGCATACAGTATGACCAGAATCGACGAGACAACACTAGTGCAGTATAGTAGCGGCAACGAGGCAACTACAGTGGAGGCGCTGGGAGTACCATTCGAATCACACTGACGAACTTTGTATATATACTTCATCAGAATGATTGAACGATTATCACCGCTGACAAAAATGCGCCGAGAATAGACTAGAATAGTTCCTTCGCTCTACCAGCGATGCGAAGGATTATAATTATACATGTGAGAAATGAGGAGTTAAACGACTACTTGAACTGAAGCAAGTTGTGCATACGCTTTCTCACGTTATCACAACGCATATGGGTCGGTACAGGGACAACTGCAAAGACATTATTCGAGTAGATCATCAGCCGCCTGGTTACCTCCGTGATGTTCAAAGCAATCTCCGTCTCTACTCGGTGACGGCTTTCTCGGTTGGGACGTACCTGCAAATCGACAAGCCATGAAAATTTAGGGATCTCTTGGGAGAATTTCTTGTTGATCTTTATTCATTTCTACTCGAGTTTGCAACGGCCTCGTATACGTGAACATGCGAGAGAACATAAAATTTTTGATGAAAATTTTTGATGGTTTTTACAATACTCTACATACAAACTCCTAAGCTCAGTAGAGTGACATAACGAGCTTACTCCTGTCAGACGTGGTCACCGAAACGCCGTCATCCTCAGCTACCGAACCTGTGAAGAAAATAATAAAAACGCCGGAATAAGCACCTACTGGGAGTCGCTAAGGTCTTCACCGACGAGGGAGAGTCGTCTTTTACGTCGTACTTGGACTCGACAGTCATTTGAAAAGCTGAAAAGCGATGGGAGTGATAATTACATACATAACGAGGCAACTCGGTTGAAACTATCCTATATAACGACTAATGCATGGTAAATAGTCACACGTTGGAACCAAGAGAAGCGATAATTGCTACCATAACATACAGAACAAGTCGACCGGAACTACACTCTACAACGAGTAATACATGGCACATAATGACGGTGATCTATTCAGAAGCTGAAGTCGATAGAAATGATGGTTACTACTGAAAGGATCGAAGTCATAGCAATGGCCATTACTATCATTATAAACAGACTAAGACAAGTAGATTGAAGCTATACTCTGTATAACGAGTAATATATAATAGTAATGTTCATCTACTCAAAAATTGGAAATTTCGATGACAGTGACAATTGCTACGATGAAAAATGATTGCTAAATAATAACGTAAATAATAAACAATTTCTACGCTAAAAACGGACTGAGAAATCAATTAAAACTATCCGTTATAAAGAGTAATCCTTGTTACAAGCGATAGAAATGACAATTACCGTCATTGCATACATAACTAGAAACATTCATTGGTAAAGAATCGTACATATTACATGGTGAATAGATGGGAGCGATAGGAATGATAAATACTACTATGCGTACAAACTGAGACGAGTCGATTGAAACCTTTCTTGACAGGCGGTCTAAGACGTCGGCTTTCATCGTTCTCCATGGTGACGGTCTCGACTGATTCAGTGACGAAACGGCTGGGCGCAGCATGAAGATTTTTCCAATTGCGCTGATTATTCCGAGCGATTTTACACGTGTTAAAACGCTCATTTACCCGGCGCATAATCGTCCGTATTTTCCTTGTTCGACCATTAATTCTCTCTCCTCATTAGTTCTTCGTTACTACATACCACCCCTCCCTCAACCTACCTCCCAATGGACCAAGATGGACCCTTGCCGCCTTTACGGAGACGGCCAGGCGATGCTATGGTTGAACTCCACCTCAGGATCGACCCTCGCCTGACCGCAGGCTTTCTGATGTAATTGAGCTTATATGGAAATGATGTAGATAACATTGGAGTTTCACCCGCGATATGAAAAACATATTTCAGGACTACTGTGTAGCGCGAATATCGCCTAGTTTTTCACCGAGTTTTACGCTACTTCACGCAAAACGGGTTGTGAAACTCCATTGTATTCATTACATGCATATATAGCATGAATTTTTCCCCGTTTCACGTGAAGTGGTATGATCGCGGTCATATGCAGTAGTTGTGAAATATATTTTTCATATCACTAGGGCCGCCCGTGAAACTCCTATGCTGACTATACGATACATTACAGAGTTTCAATAATAACAAAATTAGTTATAAAATTTGCATTGAAAATAAACTAATCCTTTTTCCGTAGGTACAACGTTCTACTCAGCTTTATAGTGAGCTCATTAGCATGCATTGCGAGTGCGATCGCGTAATATGGATAGAAGAAATCATCCAGGCACCTGGGAGGGCCTAGTCTGATCTACCACAGTCTCTAATCATTAATATGTATATATAGTACTATTTTATCAGTGGTATGAAAAACATATTTCACGACTACTGCATATCACCGCGAATATCGCGTTTTTTCGCAGAGTTTTGCGACGCCACTTCACGTAAAACGGGTAGTCCTGAAACTCCATTAAATTAGAAAGCGATGCTATTTAATGGCAAATATATTTTTTCCCATGTAAGTGTCATCACATTTGGAAAATTCTTCTCATTGGAGTTTCTTCACCCTAGTGATATGAAAAACACTAGTGAGAAATACATTTTATAAACTACTGCATATCGTCGCGAATATCGCGTTTTTCACTTCACGTAAAACGGGTCGTCGTGAAACTCCATTGTTATCTAACTCTGAGTGACGCCGCTTCTCAAAACTACTTGGTACTATGCATGAGCAGTTGGAGTTATTAACTTAAGGAATTGAAAAAAAACAGTTTATAGTTTTGTATAGTATGTTGTTAAAAAACAGTATAGTTAGTTAGTTAAGTATAATCAGTTTATATGAAACTTTACTTAGTGAGATAGTTACTATCACTAAGCCTTCGTGAGGAAGGGGCGGAGCTCACTCAGTCCACGTCTGTTGATTGATGAGTGAATTTGCCATAGGTCCCCGGTTCGATCCCCGGGTAGGACATTTTTCCGTAATTAAAGTTTTACGGAAACCTCGGCATATAGAGAAGTCGTTTGATCTATCTGGTGGCCTCCTTCGTAGTCAAGCCAGAATAATTCTGCACGCATGCACAACGCGGAAGTGTCTGTTGTTGCGGTATGTGCTCCGCTTGCTTCGCAATTTCCGTCCAGAGTGTCAAGTGCCTTTGAGAAATAAACTCCTTCCAGATTTGATAACAAATTGAAAAATGTTGCAAATTAAGAATGATTTTCCGTTTGCCAGTATCAAATTTTTTTGTCGGCGGAGCGAAGCAATCATTGCATTTTTCGGCAGACTGGTTGTTCATTGGAATTTCACGACTACCCGTTTTACGTGAAGTGAAAAACGCGATATTCGCGGTGATATGCAGTAGTCGTGAAATATATTTTCATATCACTAGGGTGAAGAAACTCCAGTGTTGGAGGAATATATTTTTGATTTCTCAGCTGAGCTTAGCATATACGAACTAGAGTAGGAGAATTCAGAAACCAACGAGAATTTTCCGAAATTTTCTCGAAATTTCCAATATTGTCACCAACACATGTAGTTGACCATGTGCAAATTTGCCATGAAAATTCCTGAGCTCAGATTATATGCTCCTGAAACGGTCGGTATGGGGAAAGATGGTGATGGCGAGGAAACGTTGAAGTTCAAGATTTGGATAGCAGTTTTCACTTTAGTGCAAATATGCTTAGGTGAGATTTTATATGCAAAATTATGTTATTGCAAAAATTCCCAAACGGGTATTTTCATCACAACATATGTTCATAGCCGTTGTTACGGCTGTGATGTGAAAAACAATCGAGTAAAAAATCAGCAAAATTTTCCCGCACTGATTTCAGTCCGTGTGGAAATATATGCACATGGTCAACTACATGTGTTGCTAGGAATATGGGAATTTTGAGGAAATTTTTTTGGCGAAATTATCGTTGATTTTTTTATACTTATACCCAAAATCGTGTGATTTTTCATAAAATAGTGAGAAAACCAAACATATATTCCTCTACTGATTTCAGTCCCCGGGAGAGCGGCGTTTTTTAACGTCATGTTGGAGATTCGGAAGAACGCTACTGAGCTTCCTCCGGTACACAGATGGAGATCTAGAGAAATCGCAATGAATAACCTCGTAGAAAAGTGAGCTATTATTTGTGTAAAAAAAATTTTCATTGCATTTTTCCCCGTGGCAGATTCACGGCGTTTTCCGAAACGCAAACATGTGCGACGAATATGCAGATTGCGATGGTTGCATATTTATGGTAAGCTGAAAACAGGGATAATATATAGTGAAGTTTCTCGCCTCATTTTCATTGATTCTTGTACTCGATATTCGTATTAGTTTTGGATACTCCTGAGCTCAGCAGCTGATGATGAGGAAAGCGATTACATATATTCCTACTACTCCAACACTGTATAGGAAACTCCTGAGCTCAGCAGCTGATGATGAGGAAAGCGATTACATATATTCCTACTACTCCAACACTGTATAGGAAACTCCTGAGCTCAGCAGCTGAGGAAAGCGATTACATATATTCCTACTCCAACACTGTATAGGATACTCCTGAGCTCAACAGCTGAGGAAAGCGATTACATATATTCCTACTCCAACACTGTATAGGAAACTCCTGAGCTCAGCAGCTGAGGAAAGCGATTACATATATTCCTACTCCAACACTGTATAGGATACTCCTGAGCTCAGCAGCTGAGGAAGCGATTACATATATTCCTACTCCACACTGTATAGGAACTCCTG